TTGTGCTCTGGCAGTTTAAGTATTTGAAGCTGCCGTACCAACAACATGTTGTGGTCAGTTTTAAATGTATACTATAAACACAACCGACTTTTCATTTTATGGCAATGCTGCCATTGGGTTTACCGGTTTCCTCAGTAGCTCAGGGTCACGCGGATGGATTGACGTCGTTATGCAATTCGAATCTAAACATTTTGAACATGTGACGACTGCACCAGCTTGGTTTGCTCTTGGCATTGGTCCTGCTGTTCAAGCAAGCGGAAAAGATTTCACAACTCAAGAATATGTAAATCTATGTGTTGGCAGTCTGTCTTTGGGCGCCCAAGTAGTAAGGTCTTTCGAACAGTACAGATTCACAATTAAATTAACATTTTAACTCAGGTGTTGGGCATTTGCTTCTCGTTTCGATTTTCGTAAATACACTATTCGATCAGAAAGCTGGTTGTGTTACATACTGATCTTTGCACTCATAACTACATTGTGGATCAATTGTGTTTGCTTCCATAGAAAACGTAATATACATATTATGCACACTGTCATTATTCAGGGACTCGGTATTCCAATAAACGATCAGATGGTTTTCATGTAGTTTAGAATTAAGAACACATATTGTCTTCACCGGTATGTAATACCAAAGCGTTTTGTAATAAACTATCACAAAACTCAGAAATGTTAACAGTTCATATCATGGAACGGGCTTAAGCTGAAGTTTACACTTAGTCAAGTGTGTAGGACATGTATTATCTTTACCTGAAAGAATATCTTAAACTTTGCTTTTCAGTCATTTTCCAGGCTTAAAGGTGACGTTAGACACTTTCTGAGTTTTATTACATAATGCGTTAAGATGTGCAAAATCTTATTACATTTTGCTACTCAACCCGGTATGTAATACCAACGCGTTTTGTAATCAAATCGCCTAAGTCCGAAATGTTTTGGAATTGTATTACATAGTGCGTTGTTATTACATAGTGGGTTGCTACTGGAGCAACCCAGTTTGTAATTACCCGTTATGTAATAAAATCGTCTAAGTGCGAAACTGTTTCGGACTTTGACGATTTTATTACATAATGCGTTAAGATGTGCAAAATCCTATTACATTTCGCTACTCAACCCGGTATGTAATACCAACGCGTTTTGTAATAAACTATCAGAAAACTCAGAAATGTTAACAGTTCATATCATGGAATGGGTTTAAGCTGAAGTTTACACTGAATTAAGGGTGTAGAACACATATTGTCCTCACGGGAAGGAATATCTTCAACTTTGATTTTCAGTCATTTCTCAGTCTTAGGCAAAAGTACCAACGCTCTTTGTAATAAAATCGCCTAATTCCGAAATGTTTTACACGTAAGCTCTATACGGCGTAAGCTCTATGCGGCGTAACAACGCCCACAAAGAAAAATAAACACCACTTTTATGTACGGTATGGTTTTTTTATTGGCGGGGCGGCAGGTGCGCCCGCTCCCACCAATTAACTATCAGAAAACACCTGAAAGAATATCTTCTTAGGGGTGACGTTTGGCACTATGTAAGTTTTATTACATAATGCGTTAAGATGTGCAAAATTTTATTACATTTCGCTACTCAACCCGGTATGTAATACCAACGCGTTTTGTAATAAAATCGCCTAAGTCCGAAATGTTTTGGAATTGTATTACATAGTGCGTTGTTATTACATAGTGGGTTGCTACATTTAGCGTATGCTTGCTCCTTCATCGCGTCAATAGGAGCAAACATACACTCCGAAACTTCGTGCTATTCACAATGAAGAAGGTGACATTCATTAATCTTGCTTTTCTTATACATTCCACTTCTAAATGCCCTTAAATGATTTGACCAATCTTTTATTTGGACTTTTTAGTCGAACCTCTGGCTCTGAGTGACCATTTTGTTTGTTTTATAATAGGACATATATATTTATTGAAGTGCATTCTGTTGATGAAAACAACGCTGATAATGAAAATCATGTTTTACTATTAAATTTATCGTTTTGTTCGCAAAACTTTGTTGCAATACAGTACTTCAATTAAACATTCTACATTAAGGCTCTATATAATTTCATTTATCTGTACACCACTGGCATACAGCCATACACAATGGGGACGGGGAGCCTGAAAGCATGGTGTAACAGCAGCTAAGAAGACGATGTCACACACAGAGAGCTATTATGAATTAATGGTGTACGCACTTGGGCAGACACCTTCCAGTCAATATATCACAATATGTATTGCAATATCTCTTAAATTATTGCAATATATCGCAATATGAGAATCAGGGCAATATCCAGCCCTACTAGGAAGTAACCTCTGTGGGAAGAGAATGTCCCAGCACAGACTGAGGAGGAAGGTAAAAGCGCCATCTGATCCCAGTCTTGGTTTCCTCTCGCATGTCGCATGCCTCGCTTCCCTCCTTTCACGATCGATGGCGGTAAGGGTAGTCTAGTGGTTAAAGCGTTCGCTCGTCACGCTGAAGACCCGGGTTCGATCCCCCACATGGGTACAATGTGTGAAGCCCATTTCTGGTGGCCCCCGCCGTGATATTGTTGGAATATTGCTAAAAGCGGCGTAAAACTAAACTCACTCACTCACTCTATATACATTTTGCTAACAAGTAACTGTAAACTGTAACATCACGGTGATAACATTACAACAAACAAACACATAAAAAAAACACTAAGAAAAAACATGCACAGCACTACACAAACAGCCCACGATGACGTTCACGATCGCGTGCTCACACAGTTTTTATTTCATTCGTCATTTATAACTGCTGTGGTTCAGAAAAGTATAGTGTGTTCATTGAGTGGTACTGGCTGATGAAACAGCTAGGTGCCGTGTGTTTATGGAGTGGTACTGACTGACGGAACAGGTGTCAGATGTTTATGAAGTACTATTTGCTCACTGACCAGGTGCCGTGTGTTTATGGAGTGGTATTGACTGACTGAACAGGTGCCGTGTGTTTATGGAGTGGTATTGACTGACTGAATAGGTGTCATATGTTTATGGTGTGGTATTGACTGACTGAACAGGTGTCGTGTGTTTATGGATTGGTATTGACTGACTGTACAGGTGCCGTGTGTTTATGGAGTGGTATTGACTGACTGATCAGGTGTCGTGTGTTTATGGAGCGATATTGACTGACTGAATAGGTGTCATATGTTTATGGAGTGGTATTGACTGACTGAACAGGTGCCGTGTGTTTATGGAGTGGTACTGACTGACTGAACATGTGTCGTGCTTTTATGAATTTAGAAATTGTCCTGACCTTTTTGAAGGCAAAGATGTAACTACAACCAAACACCTTTAATTTGTGTCGAAGTTAGGGGGTCTACTTGAATCTATCGAGATACCCAAGCTTCGACACAGCTGCGAAATGCTGACTCAAGAAAGAATTCGCCCCTAGGGGCTAATCTTTTACTTCGAGACAGCTGTCGATTCGACACATCAACATTCGACACAACAGTGTTTGACAACATATATATCTATCACCACCGAGTCGAGTGACGAATACCCCAAAGAACAAACCTCTCAAAAACAACCTCAACAATTATTGTTTATTCGATGAGTTTTGAACAACACCAGTGAGTGATATCATGCGTATCAGCTGACGGATATCTAACAACATCAACCATGCAAACAAAGACGTAGCCAATGGCTGGAACCGGCTGGGAAAAATAGGCTGCGAGTTAATGCTACAGATTCTCTAGCCTGTCTCACAGTCCCTGAACCACAATATTTTGCCTACTGCAAACCCTTTCTGCAATGCTTAAGCCCTAAATGAAGCAAGTCTAGATTTCCTCAGGTTCTGGATCGATCACTGGGGCTCCTTTTCAATTTAAATGGGATTATTTGTTACTATCAAAATGATCTATATTCAGAAACAGCGTACGTCTACAGATTCTCGTAGGAGCGTCTTGACACAACCTTTTGCAGATACATCTGGTAGGCATACATCAACACGACGGCCAGCATCAGAATCATGATAAACACAAGGATGACACTGAAAGAGAGCAGAGTATAAGTAGTAACAATAGCAAACTCTTTTTCAAATTTATAAACATTAACTGCTGGGCAAAAAAAGGTATAGACTTGGAATTGAACTTGACCACAAATTACAAACAGTATTAAACCATTACTTGGCTGAAACAATTGCCGAAACCCCCCTTCGATCAAATTTATAACCATCTCTTTTAGCAACCATCAAACGTGTGTTGTCGGGTCATTCCCCGTTTACAACGACTCGGAGGACACATATTTCCTGTTTCATGTTGGATTCAGAATGTCCAAAATCCTTCGGTACAGGGAAATATAATAATGACATTGTTATGAAGCATTTGGGAACTATTTGCTTTGTGGCAGATGATATTTCAGAGCAATATTTGCCTGTCTAATGTTACAGTAGTTTTTCAGTGAGGATAGAAGGGTTGGTTGGTTTATTCATCAATATTCCTATATGATGGCGGTCAGTAAATAATCGGGTTAATCAAGTCAGCGAGCCTGAACACCCGATCCCGTTAGTCGCCTCTTACGACAAGTACGGGTTACTGAAGACCAATGCTAACCCGGATTTTCATGGGTATGACTGACTGACTGACTGAGTTTGGTTTTACGCCGCTTTTAGCAATATTCCAGCAACATCACGGCGGGGGACACCAGAAATGGGCTTCACATTCACGGGTATGAAAGAAGGGAGCTTTGGTATAGTCGAGACTATTGCCTTTAGTGTTGTTTGTTTGTTGTTTTACGCCGCACTCAGCTATATTTCAGCTGTATGACGAGTGCCTTGTAGATACTGATATATTGTTTATAAATACGAATGTGTGCGCATGCGTATATATATATATGTGTGTCTGTGTGTGCGCGCATGCGTATTTATAAACTAGTCATTGTTTATATACGTACACTTGCCCTACAACCAGGGACTGCAAACCGCTGAGATCCACGAGTTGTGTCATCGGTACGATGTGAGCGGGTGTGTTTCCACCCGGCCCGATGGTGACCGGATGGGGGGTGACAGTCTGGATGCTGACAATTTTGATGGTGGTGCTTGCGTCGTCACTGGCTTCAAGAACCGGCTTTACCGCACATGCGGCGACACTTCTCAACGTCATCTCCTGGAATAAAAGCACCGTTAACAGCTGCAGTGACCGTATACCATGTCATCCGGAAATGACATCACAGAGCAGTTTCGAGGGAGCCGTTGTCTTGGTTTCCAAAGCCCCTTCCGGTTTTCGTTTCTGTGCACCTACGATCACCTGGTATTAGTAAGGTGGCAACCGAATGTTTGCGAAATGAATAATTAGGATTTTAATGATGTAATGACATTATTCACTAAAGTGTAAATATAGAATGCCAAAAAGTACCCGGGCTTGGCTGTCCTCAGAATCAAAATCCGTTTGGTGTAAAGGAAGAAAATAACTGTGATAATTATATGAATGAACCACTGAAAACCATTCATGACACCCGGTGTTCGCGAAAATTACGCCGTAAATCCTACACCGTACACTGGCTGACTAACGGGTTTTCTTTCTGGCAAAACATAGGAACTATAGTCATATGAAAATTAACATCGTGCGTTTTTAAGTACATTAGTACTTTTGAGTAGCAGATAGAGAGACCTGGAAATGACGAAAGTGGTCAAGAAAAACCAATGGCTGAAGTCATGAGCAACGATAACGTCGACTAATCCCAACAGGCTATTACAAAATCAACACACAAAATCAACATAGCACTATGATCTGTTTGATTGGCATTTAGAAGTTGGTGACTAATAAGAAAGTAAGATTGTTTATGGATAACAACTTCATTTATTATATATGATGCGACGTTTCGGTATGGATTCTTATACCGTTGTCAAGCAAAGTGACAACGGTATAGAATCCATACCGAAACGTATCCATAAACAAAAGAAGTTGTTATCCATAAACAATCTTACTTTCTTATTAGTCACCAACTTCTAAATGCCAATCAAACAGATCATAGCAAACTCAGTTTATTCACGCGAGCTTATTTATTTAATCGTTCCTTTGTGAGTGAATGAATGACTGAGTGAGTATGGTTTTACACCGCTTTTAGCAATATTCCAGCAATATCACGGCGGATGAGGGCAGGTCGATTCCACGCCAGTGAAGACTTTGGTTAGAAGTGGTCTTCACCAACCCATGCTTTGCCGTAAGCGATGACTGGATCGGGTGGTCAGGCACGCTGTAGGGACTGATGCGTGTCGTCGTAGGCAAATTACGTAGGTCGATGCTCATTTTGTCAATCACTGTTTTTTTACAGATAGCTGTCTGAAATATTGCAAATATGCTAAACAAACATTTTTTTTACGTTTAAAAAACAATAAGCGTGCCTCAGTCTTGGATTCAAACAGACACCTGTAAGAACGACTGTGCTTGTATCACCGTGTTCGTTACTTACAAAGTGCCCGCTGCCGACTGGGACCTCCCCCGTCGACGTGAGGATGCCAGGGTTCTGGGAGTTGTCACAGATGAGTTTGATGCTGGTCGACCTACAACAGCGTTCACACGCAGTAAAACACCTGCATGGTGTGTGCTATGTCATTCATCGTGAATTGAGGTGTAAGTGACGGATGACTGTCAACGGAGTGACTGGTGAATCATGTGGCAGGGAGTCGAGAGGGTGGGTACGGAATGGGTTGCTCATGGAAGACATGATTTCAAACGGCGAATGACATGATGACCTGACTCGTGATGACCGTTTGTTGACGGAACAGAATGGATGATATTGGGTACAGTTAAGATTGACGGTTATGAGCGGAGGAATAGGCTGGGTGATGAGTGACGGGTAGGAGAGGAAGAGGCTGGTGATGAGGGACGGGTAGGAGAAAAGAGACGGGGTGATGGGGACTGGGTGATGGAGAGAGAGGAATGATGGGGACGGGTAGGAGGAGGAATAGACTGGGGTGATGGGGGACGGGTAGGAGAGGAGAGACTGGTGATGGGGACGGGTAGGAGAGGAAGAGACGGGTGATGGGGGACGGGTAGGAGAGAGAAGAGACTGGTGGTGATGGGGACGGGTAGGAGAGGAAGAGGCTGGTGATGAGGGACGGACTGAGTAGGACGGAGAGAAGATGGGGGAAGAGACGGGGGTGATGGGGGACGGGTAGGAGAGGAAGAGACGGGTGATGGGGACGGGTGATGGGGACGGGTAGGAGAGGAAGAGACTGGTGATGGGGGACGGGTAGGAGAGAGGAAGAGACTGGTGATGAGGGACGGGTGGGAGAAGAAGAGACTGGTGATGAGGGACGGGTAGGAGAGGAAGAGACTGGTGATGGGGGACGGGTAGTGGGTCAATAGACTAGTTAATGGGGGACAGGGTGGACCTACCGGAAGACGCGCTGTCCTGTCGGGAAGAGCCGCGAGTGAACGCGGAGTAGGTGAGGCGGAGGCTCCCGTCCACGACACTGAAAGCGGCGCTGTCCTGATTCCCGAGGTTGTAGTATTCTTTCTGGAATATGTGCCGGAACTGACACACCTGCAACCACAGCAGAGCTCCACGTGTAGTCTCCCCAGGAGCGAGAGATTGGAATACCACATACAGCTAGGACAACAATGTGATTTCTTATTTGCAGTTACATTTGTCAGTATCATCATCGATTCGACCTACGTTTCCATCATTTTCATCATCATCATCACCATCATTTTCATCATCATCATCATCATCATCATCATCATCATCATCGCTTTAATCACCATCGCCACCATTATCATGACCAAACGTCGTAATGGTCATCAGATGATGATGATAGTCATGGTTATTATCAATATAATGATGATTATGTGTTTGCGACACAGATAATAATGCTGACGACGACAATAATGATTAGGAGGAGGATGCAACTGCTACTGCTGCTGCTGGTGATGATGATGGAGGTAGTTGTGATGATGATGATGATGATGATGGAGGTGGTTGTGATGGTAATGATGATGATGATGATGATGATGATGGTGGTGGTTGTGATGATAATGATGATGATGATGATGATGATGATGATGGTGGTGGTTGTGATGATAATGATGATGATGATGATGATGATGGTGGTGGTGGTGGTGATTGTGATACTGTCAACTAGCCAAATCACACCTTACAACATTATGCACAAATACCACCGGCGGTAAACTGACTTACAGCGACATCTGTACAGTTCCCCTCTGTGAACGGCAGACATGGATTCCATGACACCTTGTCCCCAGTCTCGCTCTGGACATCGAGAAACCTGGTGATCAAGAGTGAGTGAGTCAAGTGCCGCTTTCATCAATATTCGCGATAAGGCGAGATAAGGCTCAACATAACTGCACAGTGAGGTGCGTGCGCGTGTGTGTGCTTGTGGGACTCGGCGTACGACATCACGGCAGGGGACACCATAAATGGGCTTCAAACCCTGTGATGCCAAGCCGGCGTCAGTTTAACATGGATGGATCGCACGGCGTACGACAGTTTATAGGCCTTCTGCCCTCTAGTTTGGTTGGTTGGTTTGATGTTTAACGCCGCACTCAGCAATATTCCAGCTATTTGGCGGTGGACTGAAAATAATCGAGCCTGGACCAGAAAATCCAGTGATCAACAGCATGAAGCTATCGGGATACGATAACATGTGTCAACCAATTCCTTCTAGGTAGTAGTAGTAGTAGTAGTAGTAGTAGTAGTAGTAGTAGTAGTAGTGAGGTGAGGTGAAATTGGGTTTTACGTCGTGCTTGAGAATATTTCGCTCATATGACGACGTGCATGCGTGTGTATGTGTATGTGCGGCTGCTTGTACTAGCCCAGACTGAAGCTGGTTTTATAGTGCTAGCCCACTGAGATACCATGCCGCAGTGAAGCATGAATACCCCACTCAGACACATTATACTGACTCCGAGCCGACCAGTCCTTGTTATACCTATTAATGCCGAGCGCCAGGCAGGGACCAACAAGTACCATATTTTAACGTCTTTTGGTTTGACGCGGTCGGGGATCGAACCCGCGACCTTCCGCTCTCCGGGCGGATGCTCTAACCACTACACCACGGAGGCGGTCAGTAGTAGTAGTAGTAGTAGTAGTAGTAGTAGTAGTAGTAGTAGTAGTAGTAGTAGTAGTAGTAGTAGTAGTAGTAGTAGTAGTAGTATGAACATAAAGAGTAACCATTCATAAAAGAATGTGACAGGGGTCAATAAATGAAAATGTTTAAGTTACAGATGCCTAAGTGTCGTCATGGCTTCGTCCTTGTGTCGTCGAAGCGTCATCGGTGTGTTATCGTAGTGTCATCGTCAGAGTGTCGTTGATGTGTCGTCTATAATGTCGCGATGGTGTCGACAACGTTTCATCGTTGTGTCGGAGTGTTATCGTCGTGACGTCGCTAGAGCGTCGTCGGGGTGTTATCGTAGTGCGTCGTCGTTGTGTCGTCGTGGAGTCGTCCTGGTGTCGTATCCGTATTAGCATGATGTCGTGTCCATAATATTCAAGAGAATGAAGCAACGAAAAACGATGTATCATCTAACATGTTTGCAAACCTCGGCGTTCCTTTGTGTGCCAATGGTGAGAGGTCCACGGTCCCATCTTCCGACTCACACGAACATGCCGAGACTTTTTCACAGGATGTAATTTCTCCAAAACAATAAAAACATGAACTGAATATATAAAACACAATCAAATAAACGTTCCCCATCGTGACCGGGCGTTTCTGCAACCTGCGATGAGCAATGGTCATGAACTGCAGCTTGTCACTTTGTTCATTGCAAGTATCGCGTTACAAATTCCCACACGTGATAAAACGAGATTAATGGCGGATTGGTTTCGGGCGGTATATCAAGTTTCAAGACATCGGTAGTAGTAATACTTACTAAAGGACAGTCATCTATTACATGAGTAGGTGTGTCAGGGAACTTTGACACTGAAAATAGTTACCCTACCCCAGGCTTTGTCACACATGTGATCCTGCCTCAGGCAAGTGAGTTTGTTCATGAATTGCCTCTGTTCACCCAGCAGTGAATGGGTACCCGGTGTTGTTTACCCGGCGCTTGTTATACGGGTAAATATTATTATTATTATCATTATTGTCATTGATGTCCTGCACATGTTTTCATGACCCACCCCTGAAAAACAAAATAAAAAGTGCTTTATAATTATCACAAAATGTCCGTGTTTCATGACTTACTTGACTTCGACTTATGCCTCTTGATTCCTCGGGGAACAAAGGGCCGCAACAACACCCCTCCAACGGACGCGGTTCTGGGAGATCCTCTTCAGCTCCCACGTCGTTCCGGCTGCCTTTGGCTCTGCGTCGATGCTTCTGCGCCAAGACTGTTTGGGTCGACCCACTTTCCGCTTCCATTGTGGATTCCAGTCTAGGGCCTGACGGGTGACATTAGAGGCAGGCTTGCGGATCGTATGGCTAATCCATCCCCATTTCCTTTTCTTGATCTCGGACACAATTGGGGCGTGTCTGGTCCTGTCCCACAGTTGTTCGTTGGAGACAACTTCCGGCCACCTGATGTTGAGGATATTCCTGAGACATCTGTTGGTAAATATCTAGAGTTTATGGGTGTTTGTCTTGGTTACCCGCCAGGTTTCTGAGCCGTAAAGTAGGACCGACTTGACGTTGGTGTTGAAGATCCGGATCTTGTTGTGGAGTGAGAGGGCTGTTGATCTCCAGATTGGCCGGAGGGTGTTGAAGGCGTGACGGGCTTTGTTGATTCGGCACTTGATGTCTTCGTCTGCCCCCATCTTTACTGACGACACTGCCCAGGTAAACAAACCTGTCGACTTTCTTGATGTTTTCTTGGTGTAGTTGCACTGGGTTGGAGCAGCATCTGAAAGAACAAACCCAGGGTCCAGGTTGATCGATGCTCATGATGTCAATCACTGGATCGTATGTTACTCGATTATTTACATACTACTATCATATTGCTGAAATGTTGATGCGTGCGGTGTTAAACAAAAAAACCCAGAAATCTCGAAGAAGAGGTTGACATATCGACACGACACCTGATCCAACATTAAACGTGTCTCAAGATAATGCTGTTGAATGTTACCTGATGATGCGTCAATCAGCGACTCGTCTCTGCTTTTCACCTCTGAACTATTTGTACTTCATGTGACAGTCTTATGTGTGAAGGAGGTGTCGCCTTTCACTCTTAAGAAATCAAGCCAAGTAGTCAAAACCAATGAAAGTGTGTCAAATTTGACGACAATGCGACTAATTAGAGACAATGTGACAATGTCCCTTCTAGGATTCCATACATTCCCTTGTACCGTGGACCGTCTCCGCGGTGTAGTGGTTATAGCGTCCGCCCGGAGAGCGGAAGGTCGCGGGTTCGATCCCCGACCGCGTCATACCAAAAGACGTTAAAATATGGTCCTTGTTGGTCCCTGCTTGGCGCTCGGCATTAATGGGTACAACAAGGACTGGTCGGCTCGGAGTCAGTATAATGTGTCTGAGTGGGGGTATTCATGCTTCACTGCGGCATGGTATCTCAGTGGGCTAGCACTATAAAACCAGCTTAAGTCTGGGCTAGTACAAGCAGCCGCACATACACATACACACGCATGCACATCGTCATGTGAGCGAAATATTCTCATGCACGACGTTAAACCCAATTTCACCTCACCTCACCTTGTACCGTGAAAATATCATCCCCATGATCCTTTAGATACCATCACATCTGTTGTGAGGTATTCATTGATATGATACAAGTAATATCGCCTATTATACCCGTATCAATACATCGCCATTCATTTAAATGTTCGATAGCAACTACTGGGTCTAAATTTATATCGACTGTATTAAATCCCTTTACCAAATAAGGCATTAACAAATCAAGGGAACTGTGGAAGAACTCCGCAATTAATTTGTCAGCAGATTTGTTACATTTCAAAGCCTTGACTGCTTCCTCAAGTAATTGGAGAATCAAGGATCAATTGAGTCATGCTATCAAAACCTTCGTCAATGTCTAAATCTATACTTTCATCGTCAACTACATCAACATCCTTTAAATCAAAACACAAACCTACACCGGAATCTTGGGGTACATGCCTGGTGGTGCAGAAGGTGCGCACCCCCATCTTTGTCCTGAAAATTAAATGACCATTGCTCTTGGTGGTTTATGAGGAAATAAGATGAATATGAATCTTTCTCAAAATGTCCATCCGCCCCTTCGTTTCTTGTTTATTTAAGGTATAGCCCAGATCAAACATGGAGGTACGCCCGGCAGTGTAGCTTTAACGAAGGTTATGTCCGAGGGGTAAAGGCTAACCCACCTTTTACGCTCTGACCATGGGGTGCAGTGTGACATTTGTCTCCCATCATCTCTGGGTTCAATGTCAGTGGTAACCTGGGCTAGCAGTTTGTTCGTAAATCGTCGTTGTCATGTCATGAAGAGGAATCAGGTTACTAGATAGCTTCGTGTACTGTATGGAACTATGTAACTTCATAACTACACGGCACATTGATCATATGCTACCGCTCCCGACCACACATTGATCATATGATACCGCTCCCGACCACACATTGATCATATGATACCGCTCCCGACCACACATTGATCATATGATACCGCTCCCGACCACACATTGATCATATGCTACCGCTCCCGACCACACATTGATCATATGATACCGCTCCCGACCACATATTGATCATATGATACCGCTCCCGACCACACATTGATCATATGCTACCGCTCCCGACCACACATTGATCATATGATACCGCTCCCGACCACATATTGATCATATGATACCGCTCCCGACCACACATCGATCATATGATACCGCTCCCGACCACACATCGATCATATGATGCCGCTCCCGACCACACATCGATCATATGATGCCGCTCCCGACCACACATCGATCATATGATACCGCTCCCGACCACACATCGATCATATGATGCCGCTCCCGACCACACATCGATCATATGATGCCGCTCCCGACCACACATAGGTCGGTAGGTAGTGTACAAAATTACACTTTTGATGAAGACAAAATAAACACTCTGTAGATACCTTTCATCCCGAGATTAATTTGTCCCGTTTATTCGCCTGTGAAGACCTCTCGACCCTTAACCCCTCCTACCTTCACCCTACCCCACTTTCATTCTCAAAACTTCATCTCGTCCCACCTTCAACCCATCCCACCTTCACCACATATCACCGTCAGACCAACCCATCTTAAACCCCACCGCAGCTTCCCCTTTCATCGGCTTTCAGCTTTAGTCACCCTCCTTCACCTCTGCACCTCTACCTTGGATACCAACCCTGTCTTCGTCCCATCAGGACTCCGATGACAAACAAAACCCTCGCCATCTTAGGCTTTTACCCCACCACACCCTGTTACCTCCATGACAAACACCACCCTGACAACCGTAAACGTCAACTCATCAGTTTCGGCCCCTTGCCCACCTTCACCCTCACCCCTCCAGCCTTCGACCCCACCCATCCTACTTCCACCCCTCCCTCCCTCCCTCCTAATATCTTCAATCGAGGTCACGACTAGGACAATGCCAGAGTTTGTCGGTGAAGGTGTAACGCTATTCTCCAATAGCAACGACATTATTACCAGAAAGGCGATCGTGCTGTCCTTTTGTGTTTAGCCGAGTGTGACTGTAAGGAGCTGAAAGCGAAACAAGATCGAAGGGTTGATTGATTTTAACCCTTACACCCCCAGCGACTGGAGTCGTCCAAACCCACCACACTATCCTCCTGTACAATCAAGTCGTAATCGCTAAACATATTAACATGTGTTTTGACCATCTTGGACTCACTCAATCTCGGGTAACATAGGGTATGTTTCAAGTAATGGAAAATGGAATTGCGGAATATATTGAGCTTATATATTAAAAACACGGCCAAACAGTTTAAACAACTGTATTATTAATATTAACACTTCGAGGGTTAACCAACTCTTCATGCACTACTCAGTGTTGGAGGTGTATGATTCACGGTGATATGGGGTATTATGTGGAATCTCTGGCAGGACAGAACCAGGCATCGCCATGTAAACAATACCGACATGCTGAGCGGAGACATGTCTCTACACACGGTAGGTGAAACTTTCACAACTTCTAAACTGTTAGGAGTATGTATGAGTTATTACTTTGAAATGTTGTTTTGTTGTTGTTGTTGTTGTTTTTCTAGGTTTGGATAGAATGGTGTTGGTGTGTACACACCGTTGCTATTCATTAGATATAAACAAATATATCTTCGGTACAGCCAGCCAGGTAGGTGATCTGAAGTGGGTCTGAGCGTCACGTTCGTGATTATAGCTTACATTTATATTGCAGTGTGTATGCACGTTATGCGTGCGTGCGTGCGTGCATGTGTATGTATGTATGTGTGTGGCTACTTACACTGGTCCAGACTTATGCCGATTTTACAGTGCTAGCCTTTCAGTCCTTGTTTTGTGTTCTCAGCTGAGGAAAGGAAACACCAAGTACCATTTTATTACGCCAAATAAGAGTAGGCTAAACATGTTTCCAAAGCTCGTGGTTTTACATCTTCATCTGCAAAAGGAAACAACAGGCTACACATCTAAACTTGATGCAGTTCATATATAACGCCCACAAGTAGGTCTCACTTGATAGTTGTCACTCACTCACTCTCTCACTCTCTCTGTGTTTCAGACCCGTCATGTTTAACTGCACGGAGGCTGACGTGTGGGGAAACCCCTACACATTCCAGTGTTCATACGGG